AAAGAAAAATAAAAAATGCTATTTGGTGGTTTCAGAGGATGTTGCATAACTCCTTCTGGACAACATGGATCTGGAAAATCGTTTCATCCCAAAATCAGTGGTCAAAAACTCTTTCCAAGTATAGATTTGTTAGCATACAGCAGTGTTATTCAGTCAGCTTTAGAGGTGGTGGTGAACTTGGACAGAGGCAGGCTGTTTCCTGGTGCTTCAAGTATTAATACAAAATCTAAACGTGTTATGGCTCCATGCCTTTGTGTGTCAGGCATCTCTTTATTCCAATCTCATGGAATTAAATCCATATTTCAAAAGGCAGGATTATTCTTATAAAACTAAATAACAATTAAGAGTACATAATTAAATATAACATCATAATTTAACTCAAGCTGTTTCTCTTTCACATCTGAATGATTGAATTTACACAATAGAACATAATTAAAATAAAAAAAATGCAGGGCAAAGTTCAGTTTCTAATTGGTTATGTATTGTGTATATAAACAGAAACGGGTTACTCCAAGGGCATTAAGACCTCCATAAAACGCAGCACAGGACGGTCAGGTGACATCCACCGAGCATCCACTGACGATTATCCCCATTAATAACTCAACTGCCAAAAACATTCTGGACCGAAGATGAAAACACGCAGCTGCAATAAAAGGATGGAAATATAAGCTGCAACGTACATGAGCAAGTATATGCTTCTGTTCTCTTCTGTTTTAGGACTCAAGGCTGAATGCGGGGGACAAATAATCATGACAAAACTTGCTTTAGATCACTCATTTATTACAGTTTTTTTTTTTACAAACATTAAATGGCACGTTTTCATAAATAACACTAAGCAATTCATTTAACTCTCTTATTTAAATAGAATTCTTTTCATTTGTAACAATGTTTCTTCCCATCTTGCAAAATTACTTTTTGAAACTTAACAAATGTAACAAAGACAGGAAGGATATAAACAAGCATGCCACCTGCATATTCAACTCTGGAAAACGTGAAAACACACTTTTTGCATCAGAAACATTTAGGAGGAGCGATATCATTGCACTTCTTTTTTTCAGCAAATAGCCAATAAACCAAACAATACCAACACCGTCTGTGTGCAAACACTTTTTTTCTCAAAAATATATTACAAATATGTACAAAATGCTCCCGGCAAGTCTTTTCATTCACGCATAGGCAAAGTCATGCTGTAGGTAAAGGTCAACTTGACATGCAGGACAGTTTTTGATTTAACTAAGCTGCGATGCTTTGGTGTAACTGAACCTTAAGTTGTTAGAAGCAAGCGTGTCACTTGAAATAAGAGGAATATTGAGGAATGATTGTCCTCTGGCTAATAGATCCATTTAGGGGATTTAATCCCAGCTGAGAAGCTTGTGGGCTTCTGTTTTAACGATTCCCCCTCGTGCTCTTCAGTTTAAAGCTCTGCAAGGCAAATACAGAAAGTTTAAGTCCCACTTTAATCCCATGTAATGCAGTTGTTAAAATTGGCAGTGTGTCAGTGAGCAGCAGTAAATCTAAACTACTTGACACATATCAGGTTTGACCATTCATTTTTTTCCCCTGCTTCCTGTGCTGGCATTTAGTTAGGGGACAGTCCCCGTGTCCATTCCCGAGATGTCAGCCAGTCCACTGGCTGGCATCTCGTTTGATATATGAGGGCCTATAGGAACAGTCAGCAGCCGGGGACAGGTTCTAAAATAATCCACTTCACCCCCCCTAACCCATCCCGGCTGGCTGTGGTGGGCACTTCACTCAGTTTATGACAGGCTCGGTGGGGCAGATCAATTTGCCCAATAAAAATAGAATTGATTGGTTGCACGCAGGCAGGCCTGAAGAGACAAGCAGCTGTGCTTTATGTAACATGGGGTGATGTTTGAAAATTGAGTAACGTTTCTTGGATACACGCACAGTCGGAATTTAAAGAAGTTAAACATGACTTGGCAAAGATGAAAATGAGTTGGACGGGATGAGTGACAGTAGTCAGTCAGCAGTGTATGACATGTTCCTGTTCAGCGTCCAGCACTCTCAGAGAAGAATTGGAAACCTGGGAGGATCAACACCTCATCAAACTGAGCATACAGCGGATGATTGTTGGCTTTTGCACTGCACAGAGACTGCACTGTGTCAAGGAATTGGAAATCTTCGAGTCTGTGTCATAGTAAAATTTGGATCCCACAGCCACTGAACACAAAACTGACCCTTTGGGCCCAAGACGGGCCATCATCCAGCATGTGATTTACTGTATCGTGTCTCTTTAGCACACGTAAGCAGATATGTGCAGAAAAGAACATTTCCATGTATGTCGAAGATTAATTACTGTGGGCTGACATTACAAACCAACCTGAAGAGTTGATGTAGGGACACTCAGATGGATGAGTCCCTTACCTTAATGTCAGATGTCACGGCCAACCTCTGCTATCATTGACTTCGGCCTGGAAATAACAGATTAAAATTGACGATAAACAAATATAAATATGTTGCCTGGTCGTCTAAACCATGTTAGGCTGTGTTGCTTAATCAAATCTGTATGTCTGCAGAAGTTCATGCGTTCACAATCACGTTAAAGAGAAGCAACGCACTGATCAATTTGCTGGTGGACCTCTTACATAATATGTTCTTCATGCCAATGGAGGAAGTTGTTTTATTTTTATTGCTCTAACAGATGAAATATAAAATCAGTGGCTTCTTGCAGCCACAGGATTTAAGTGCAACAATATATGAGTACTTTTCCACATTGTAGCTGCATGCGCTGTAGGACTATATGTACTACAAAATTGGATCACCTTTCTTTGGGGAGTGTTGAATTACTCTGCTGCTGGTCTTGCTCAAGTCTGGGGGAGAGGCACATAGTAGTAACATGCATGTTTAAATGAGCATGTGTAAACAAAGAAATTTTAATATAAAATCACTTGAAAACATGTGACTCACCTTTCCTTTTGTGCTCTTATCTTCTCATCGTCATACCTTTAAAAGAAGGGGATAGAAATTCAGAATGAATGAAGTTAAAAGTTCATTGCTCTGTGTTGATGCAGCTCATATGCAGAGACATGTTAAAGAGAATGTTTTTAAAGGAATCTGCAGTCCTGAGATAAAATTCAGTCACTTGTAGAAGCACTTTTAGGAGCAATAACTTAAGCGAATCACTTTCTGTATGACTTTATCATCCTCCCACATAATTGAAGCAGAATTTCAGCTCACTCTTCTTTATAGTGTTGCTTCATGTCATTGAGGTTTAAAGGCATTTGTGTATGCACAGCTCTCTTATGGTCCTTCCACAGCATTTTATTAGGTTGAGGTCTGGACTCGATCCTTTTCTTTTTCAGCCATCGCGTTGGAGATTTGCTGCGGTGCTTGGGATCGCTGTCCTCCTGCATGACACAGTTTCGGCCAAGCTTTCGCAGTCAGACAGATGGCCTCACATTTGACTCTAGAATATTTTGCTATACAGAGCTGACTTAATGGCTACAAGGTGCAAAATACCCAAATCGTCACACCTCCACCACCATGCTTGACAGTTGATTTGTGGTGTTTGATATTATTGAAATGTGGTGCGGTGTATTACGGCCATTTGGTCTAATCTGTCCGAAACTTTCCCCTGGAATCCTTCCAAACAAGCAACACTTATTTAGTCTTTTTCTATTTGTGTTATCATGAAAGGTAAAATTTAACATGCTAACCAAAGCCTTAAGAGTCCGATATGTAACTCTTGGGTTTTTTGCAGTTTCTCTGAGCATTGCATGGGAAGATTGTGGGGTTGTGTTAACATTTGATTAGCAGGATGTATTAATTTCTATGGAAGCAGTAAAGGTGCACTTGGTTTTCCACAGATTCCACAGAGACTTTCTTTTGCACACGACAGTGGAAAAGTTTGCCTGATGTTGGCTCTGTTTCTTCTGTTTAACTATGCACTGCAGTTCTTCCAAAGCCTCAATCATCTTTTGAATTTGTTTTAAAATCAGTGTGAATACTCACCATCTGGACCTGCCATAATTCAGTTTTGAGCACTCTTGCAGATAATAAACAAAAAAATTAAAAGTGAATGCCTACTCAGAGTTGTAAAGCTCATGTTGGATTTCTGATATATTTTTAATTTCTTTCCGTGAGGCACGTTGTAACTTTGCTACATATATAAAGTGTTTTTTAAATATTAATATCATTTTAATCACCTGCTGTTTCGTCTGCACAAGTCCATTTAAGTAAACAGTGAGAAGCAGACATTTAAACAAATGTGAAGAACTGTACATCAGTCTTAGTTATCCATAAACACTGTCTTGTTGGACTGTTTGAATTCTTTCAAGATGTCAGGATTTGGACAATGATGCATGTTTTGTAATTTTGCCTCTGGACATCATATCACAAAAAAACATTAATGATGTGACCAAAGTGCAGACTTTCAACTTTAATTCAAGGAATTAAACAAAAGTATCGCAAAAATAGATTAGGAATAAAAACTATTTTTATATATTCCCTAATTGTCAGAGAGTCAGTGGTGACTGAACAATAGACTAACAACAGTTTCGTGACCTCTTCCCTCTTTATTCTATAACAAATTAAGCAGATAACAGACCTGGAGTTGAGTCTTGCATTCAGTAGTAAATACTTATGGAGCTGACTATATTGCTGTAAGCTTGCAAAGGAGAGTATAAGCTATGAAAGACACTTGAAGCATCTCAACAGGGACCCTTGGTGGCCGAGAGTACTTACTGCAGCACACATTCAGGAATCTGCACGTGCTCCATGGGGATAATCTGACCGAGTTCCTTCAGGGTGTGAACGTAACGGATCTTTTCCATGAACTTCACACTTCAAAAAATATAAACAACATTGGGTTACTGTCACAAATTAATCCTAAAATATATGTGCATTCAGCCACGTAGCACAACATACGTACTCTGATTTTGAAACAGCAACACTTTTCTCTTTTTAATGTTTTCAGTGTAGCGATGTGACAACTTTAAAATGCTCCAACCTATTTTTCCCTCTCTCTCTTTTGTTTTTAGATTTGTTAAGAGACAAGCTTTCACAGCCAGATGTGTCATAAATATACCTAATGAAGGGTCTTGAGATGGCCAGGACAGTGCGGATGAACCATGTTGGGTGAGCGATGATGAGACACTTTAGATTCTTCCTCAGTCTACAGGAAACAAACAGAGTTTATTACAATCCCCATTATAACTTTTAACTGCATGAAATCCCATGTATATTGATTATCTTCATCTCTAGCATCAAGAACATCTTCAGCTTCACTATCTTCTAATTTCCCAAAATGTTTTCTGAGTTATTTTGACACTGTTCATCTTACTTTCTGTCTATCATCTGGTAGCATCTCTTCAGCCAGCTGATGCCAGGCATCTTTCTGCGAGGAGTTGCTCCATTCAGGTAAACAATCATGTAATCCTCTGCTACCAGCAGCTCCAGGCTGCTCACAACATACCTGAGAACAGACATGAACAACCTTCAATTGTCCATGAAAACAGCACATAAAATCCCCTCATTTGATTTATGATTAAAAGGAGTTCTGATATTTTATTTGTGGAGATAAAATTATATTTCATTTAAAGGGGGATCCATTAAACTCATTTCCAGCTCTAGTTCATCTCATAAAATGTATCTGCAGGATGTCATGCTTTGATTAGTGAGGCCCTGTTTTGAAGCTTCAGGCTGAGTATTTTTGGCATCACCATTTGATGTTTTGAAGCCAAACATGTCTTCCCCGATCCATATCCTACTTTAACCCCCCTTTTCAATGGGGGTGTTTTCTGGTGTCTGTGTGTGGCGCTGCTGGGTAGTCTGTGCTGGCAAACAAATGTTACCGGTCTGGTAATTACTCCTGGGTGGGTCTGGGGCAGGCTTGGGGACTTGGGGTTCTGGGGGCGTGCTACCTCTGGGTGGGGGTTTTGGCTGGACCTGGGGGGCTTGGGTGTATTGGTGGAACGAGGGGCCTCTTTAGCTAACCCTTAACCTGGTTTTTATTGGCTTATGTAGTCTGGGAGTTGCCTGAATGCTGGGGTGGGTATAGTTCGGGTGGAGTGAAGCACACACACTCCCGTTCTCTGTTCGCCATCCAGGGCTGGAAGAGCTGGCTGTCTGGTCAGGGTCTGGGTTAGGGTTAGGCTATATGAGGCTGTTGGGCTGCTCTGCTGCTGCAGAGGCCAGGGAAGTCTACTTGTCTCCATCCCAGAGTGAAGGAGACCATCTCCTCGGTCTGTGGGCTGATTGCCCTTCTTCGGGTTGTTGGTTCCAGGACCTGGGAGTGTATGGGGAGTTTGAGTATGTGTACAGCGTCCATTTCTGTGTCTCCATGTTGTTGTGCATGAGGGTGGGAATGCATGCTTGTGTCTGTGTTGTCCTGTTTGTCTTTGTGTGTCAGGTCAGGTCTCTACCTTTCTTAGAACATCTCAAGCCAATAATGCCTAGTAATGCTCCACTTGTGAAAGTAAATCTGTTTGGCATTTTATGGCCTTCAGACAACAACTCTGATTTCTACACTGCTGGAAAAGACAGGACTCAAAACTCATGCACAGTACTGGAGGCATTTACTGAGGTCATAGGAGCAGAGGATTCTTCTCTAGAATCTGAACTCAGGAGTGCCACCTGCTGACTATTAGAAATAATGGCACAGATTTCAGGCACTTTACTGGCTCAAGATCTCAACATGACGTCTGTATTTTTCTAAACAAGCCGTACTTCATCAGAAACAAACGGTTTTAGCTCCCTTTAAGGTCAGGGGGCGGGGCTTCCATGCTCAAAGCCAGAGCAGCGTCACTGAGATGACCATATAAGGATATCCTCTCTTACTCACATCAAACAGCGCCAAGAGTAGAACAAGCTGTTTGGAACTGACTATTTTGAGCAGTCTGAAATCAGGGATCACTATCTCAAACTTTAATATAAGCTCTCCCATTACAGCAGTATGGATGTAAATAACAAAAAAAAAACAAACCCATAACAGGTCCACTCTAATTTTAAGAATTATTTGATTCATTATTTTACATCCTCATTGGACAGGAGACTTCCTACATTGGAAACGTTTAATGGATTGTAGAGTGAGAAATGAAGGAATTAAGGTTGTCGCCATGTGATAACAAAGAAAGGATCTTACAGGAAGAGATTTTCCATGATGTACGTGTAGTCGTCACAGCTGCTGTCAGGAAGGTAGCAGGCTGCAAACACGATGATGGCATTCAGACCTTCCCCGTAATATCCTGACAGAAGAGAGAGATGCAGTTGCTCCATTCATAGTGGCAAATTATCACTTGGCAGGTAGGACATGTGAATGTGTCTGTACTCTTTTACATTTCACCTACGTTTTACATGTAATACCAGGAAGTGGGCCGATAAGATTTATAATAGCATAACCATCCTAAGGAATCCATTTGGGGAAACAGTCTAACTAACCTCCATGTGTGACCACTCTCAGGTACGGCCTGATGACCTGCATATCGATCCGTTGCTCCTGGTCGCCAATGATCACTGTTCGCCACAGACGACCTGACGAGTCTCTCTCCTCTTCGCTCTCACCTGGGAGACGCTTAGCAGTAGCCACAGGTGTGTCGTCTGAAAACAAGGTGACACCAGAAAGCAGCTGCTCACAACACATGTAGCCAACATGAGCAGAGCTGGCAAAGGGAAATGAACCTTTTCAAAGCTATAAATCATGATTTATGATGACATTTAGCATACAAATGTAAAATGTACTCTAAGCTCTTTTTACAACATGTCTAATTCATACAAGCACCTTTTTCTTCTTCTAAATGTTTCTAACATTCAAACAACAACTTGGGGGTTCAGCATCTTGCCTGAGGATACTTTGGCTGACTGGAATTGCCTCGGATCAAACTACCATCTTTCCAGTTAGTAGCTGACCTGCTCCACCTCAGAGGCAAAAAAGGTCCATATTTGTCAATGTAAACAACAATATTGCCAAAGTTACTGCACATAACCTGGTGCAATTCAAATTTTCTCTTCTTTGTAAAATCGAATATCATGAAATCCTGAATTTTTCCACCTCATTTACAATGCAGGCTTACTCTTCAGCACACCTTTATACTAAATATGTGGTATTGGCTTGTTCAGACAGCTCAGAAGCCACACCAACAACAACACACAATACAACTACTCAACATGACTGACAGAGACAACGCCTTTAAACGGAACATAGAAAAAGCGCTGACATCACTGCATGGCTGAAGCACGCGATCAAAAATATGTTACCAGAGAGCAAAAATATCTGCTCCCCTCGGATGTGACCTTCTTGCTTTGCTAAAATTTAATAAACAAACAAAAAAACCTGCTCAGCTGGGTAAAAACCCATCCCAAAAGGATACACAGACCCAGCAGCTATTTGTTTTAAACCAGCACAATCCATCAAAGCTGGAAGCACAGATTTAGAACAAGAAAATCCAGAGGAAAAATGACTAAAAGGGATGTGAAGAATGAGAAGCAGCAAAGGATACACCAAAGGGCTCCTAACCAAAGCCCCTGCAGAGGGGGACAAAAAGCTACTACTGCTTAGAAAAAGCTGTAACATCTGGACCTGAGCTGATCACTGACTGTGCTTACATTCATGTAGTGCACAGACACCTTATACCTGGGACCTGAAGGATCAAATGTAACCCCTCACTAGACTGTAAAACTGCCAGAGCTCCAGAGCAACACAAGAGTTGGGATTGATAATGTTAGAGCCACCAGCCTTAAATTAGTGTTAAGGCTAATTTTAACTCTCTTCGGCTTTTCTCCTTTATTTAAATCAACACACAGTACAATGTAATATCATGTTTTATTGTTATACTTTGCCTTTTGTGAGAGTACCCAGCATTCCCTTTTTTTAGAGTGTGTGTCATTGTTTTCATTGTTATACTGTGTGTGTTTAATAGTTATTGTGTTGTTTTTAGCTTGTGGAAAGAAATATGCCTCTATTCTACATTTGTTCTGGTTTATTACAACTACCATATAAAACTATATCATTGCAAAAAGATTATGTACAGTATGTCGATTTGTCCTCATTATGTGTTCTAATAATTTCCCCCGTAGAAGTTTTTGGATGCTAAATTTGAACATGCACGTACCTTCCCACTCTAGCTCGTTGCCGTTGTTGATGAACTCCAGTGAGTCAGTCTCATCTGGAGTCTCGATGTCATCAACATTGATGTCCAGGTCGTCGGGCGTTTCCAGGAAGTCATCAGAGAGCACCGACCCCTCGCTCTGATCCAGAGACAGGTTCATGTCGGGGGCGACCAGCGTGCGACGCTTACGTTGGGTCATGGATTCGCCGACATTCAGAGTGGTGGGAGGATCTAAGACAAAATGTTATGAAAGTATGGATACGCCTTATACGTATAAACATGTGTGTGTCTGTATAAAAATATAATGGTGTCTATTTAGTCCACTTACTGGTCCTGCTGTCAGAGAGGCCACATGCATCTCCATCCTCTGGCAGTGGCCTGCAGGGAAAGACAAGAACGCAGCATAAATAAACAGTTAAATTGGAAATAATTGTACATACATAGGAATTATATCTGGCTTAATGTCTTCCTGCTGCCAAGTAACGATTGTTTTGGCTGTTATATTATAAGTGTTATATTATAACTGTTAAACTAAATAATCTGCGATGATGGAAAACACTAAAAAACCATGAAGTACTAACAGTCAGTCTCAGCATTTTGCTCTTTGCCCTTTGTTTTTAGAGAGGCTGCGATGCGAGACCTGATTTAAATATATTTCACCGTCGTTTGAGAAAGCAACACCAGCAATTACCAACTTCCTTCTGATTTTATAATAGGACGGCTGAAACCTCGGTGAGGGACTGAGCAGGCTAGATTAGAGAGCACACACATATGCAGACAGGCAATAACAGAGACTTGCATACACAGACAAACACACCCCGAAACACCACAAGTATGGACTGATGGAGCTGCTGGATAATTGCTGTTATTAAATTGTCAGTAGCTATGTAGAAGCAAGGTTAAGACCGCACCGACAAGTATTCAAGAGCGAATTAAGCAGTAGGGAAGAGAAAAACAATTTTCAGTGTTAAATAATTTGCTTCTAACGCAGACCTCCAGGTCTGAAATCCCCCCAGATGAATCACAATATTCCACTTCTCTTACCTAATATTCCACCACCATAATTCATGTGAAGTCATCCTGAGATATTTTTAGCCTTGTTAAATGCATTAAACACACGCATTAGTGATTCTGACACAAAAGCATTTTTCAGACAGTCACAGGACTTTGCTGCATGTACTGTGTGTGGATGTTTTTGGAAGATAATGAAGGTTTCTCTGATCAGCTTCTAAAAGCATATTTCCCCTGCTGTCAAAGAAAGATTTTGGCCAGCAGTAGAGCGAGTGGCTAGTCTCCCATAGCTTGGACACTGCGAGGTATTTGACTGCTCCTCTTTTTCCATCTGCTGGTTGCTATTTTGTTCGCTGACTTGCTACAGCCTCATCACATAACACCTGATGACTACATCATGGAAAGTACACACCTGCTTCCTTTCGGCCCTCCGCGCACTCACACAACATGTGACAGACTTTCCATCGAAGCTTGATCTCTTTGAAAAAGCTTCTGCACAAATCGGACAAACTGCACGCACAAACACAGACTGCTTGTTTCTCTGTCTCGTACCTGGGGAAGTCTTCATCCTGCCACTCGTCCTTAACCTCCATGCTGTCCATGCGTAAAGTGGCTTCCGCTGTACCCATCCTCTGACAGCGAGGATGGGCTTCAGCTCGCTGTAATAGGCAAACAAGCAAAAGAATTCATTGAGCCGTTCACCAGGAGGTTCACCGAATGGTTTAACACACTGCTAAAACATTCAGTCGTTGCAGCCTTATTAAAGTAGACACTCCACCCAAATTACACAACCTGAATGATGTCTTTTTCTGGCTTCTTATACTTGTCTTTATTACAAACTGAAAGTGGAGATAGATGAGTGTGGCTGCTTTATGATCAGGATTTAACATAAAAACGTTTTAAGCCACTACCAAGGAGCTTGTTTATCTCTTTGTTTGCTTAGACGCTTAACCTGACCTGTCAATCATTCAGGCATTAAAAAAGACGCCTAACTGAAGGGATGAACCAGTGTTGTATCATCACTTAACAGAAAATCTGGGGAAGAACCTGTTTTAAATTATATCTTTAGGCACTTTGTAGCAGCCTGTTGTGAAACACATTATTTGTTCCTGTTTCTTTGGTTGAATCTGTGAAAAATACCACAGATAACACCATGTGACAGACATAAAATAACATTTTTGCAGCAACAAGGTGTTTCCCCAAAAGCTCTTAGCTGAAAACTCTACATATCGTGGCATGGTAGTAGCAGACCTAAAATCTATCTACTGCAGATGAACAGCATCTGAAAGTCATGTTCTTTTAAAATGGAAAAAAAACAAAACAAAACAGAGAAGATGTGGCATGAGAGATGCATCTGGCCTCTAAGTTGATGCATCTCTCTTCTCCTCACTGACGTTTCCTCAGAAATGACCTCAGTAGAAGGGTGGCTGCACGAAACTATTCTTAAGAAAGGGAAGCAGGGAGAAAAGGCTGGTGTGTGCCAAATTACACAAGGATTAGACTGAAAACCATCCATAAACAGGTCTTATGGAGGGATGCATGTTTAAGGTCAGGGGAGCAATATAAGAGTGTTTATAGTCGTCTGTAAAACATGGTTGGGACTGAATTTCAGTCGGTGGTGTTGGGAATTATGTCAAAATTGATGGAAACATATATGCAGAAAAGAACCATCAGATTTTGATCCAGCATGCAAGACCATGTGAAAAATGTCAGATTGGAAACAATATCATTTTTTTCAGCATGACACTGATCCCAAACACACTGTAAATGCTGCAAAGCGCACTTGGATAGAACAAAACACACAATGGAGCACTACCAGAGCCTAGACCTCAACATCACTGCAGCGGTGTGGGATCATCTTGACAGACGATGCATTAAAAGTCACAGTATGCACAGTATTGTCTCTAGTTGCATCATGGGAAATGTGTCATGTCTGGAGCTTGACCCTTGGAGGTGACACAAAAATTTTGATATGTCACCCACCTCTGATTCTGTCAGCTTCTCTCTGTTAAATAAAATGAACTTCATTATGAAGCTGTTGCACTAAAGTAATTGAGTATATCATAAACAGGTGAAGCAATGAACTCAGAGGGAGTAAAGACTGGAATTGGACGATCAGGAAAGCAGCGTAGATGCGTTGTCTTGTTTGTGTCGGGCAGACTGTATTTAAGAACAAAATCTGAACCCAAGAACAATTTAGCCCTATGTGTTCTGTAGTTAAATCACAGAAATAATAGTTTGACATAACCAAGTCCCAGTGGGTTTCCTTCCCCATGATCCCTGGGGGAGGGTGACATAAATAAAACATCCAGTTTCTCATACAATACAGATCCTCAGGGCACAACAAGCACGTGCTTCTGTAAAGCAGATCATGATCCAAGCTTCCATATTATATAGAATCAAAGCAGATATCTCCCTCCATGACATCATGCTCTATATTTGGTATTTGATGTAAAGGTTCACAGTGTTTTATTTATAGCAGCCTGACCATTAGGGATTAGTCATGCACAAAGTAAACATCATGTGTAAGTCTTGTGTCTCCCTATGTCACTCCCCTAGCCAGAGTTCCACAGGCTACAAACGCAGACTTTACTGTGATCCATTTGTCCACTGGGTTGGCACTGATGTGTGGAATAAAAAAACAGCAAATGTGGGCTAAAAGGTGCAGGTCCTCCGGCTACATGTTCCCAGTACAGCTGTATTGTGAATCGATTCTAAATGATGGAGAAAAGAGGTATTTGCACAGCATTGCCTGATAAGAAAGTTGCAGTGTTTGGTGCAGATCCTTAAATGCCATTTTAACTGAGACCTTTCTGCTTAAATTACATTTCAAGTTGCCTTCCTCTGATCTCACACGACAACTGCATGTGGTTTATTGTGGTGCGCACGTCTCTTTCTAAGGCTCAACTGCATGCACAGTGAACTGCTGATTGATGGACACAAAGTAATGTTGCAGCGGCACGTGTTTGGTGGGGATTTATGTCCAGATGGCAGGCCTGTCCTCATTTCCCAAACACTGTCTCGTGAACTATTGATGCTGTTGCGCTTGGCAAACCTGAGACCTGAAACAGGCGCAACACTTGCATAAATGTTACCACATACTGACAAGTACTCTTTCTTTGATACACAACAGGTGGGATCAAGTGAAGCGGAGAGGTAGTTTTCGCTCGTCTCTGTTATGAAATCATTTACTCAAAGATAAGCATTAATAGAACAGCTGAAGATGAAAGGCAACAGAGAGGTGGTCATGTACAGCCTGAAGAGAATGATGTCAAAAGCCTAAAAACTTCTCATCTTTTCAACATCTCTTAATATCTCTGACAACACTGAAAACAAAGTAAAAAAAATGATCTGTTTGAAGAGTGTGACACCTGAAATCTGCTTCATCCTGACTGTGTAGTTGCAGTTTGATCAGATCAGCTTGTGTTCACAGAAAACCAGCGGCTCCCACGACTGTCATCCCACTGTGATCTAAACATTTCCCTTTTTCCTTTTTGAGACCGCTCCACCTCAGAATAAACAAACTAATAATAAAAAGAATAATCTTGGGTCTTACTGTATCACTCTTACTGAGAAGCTGACAAAGAAAATTTGTGTTTGCGTGGCCTTTAAATGCGTGCAAAGAAGCTATTGTGTCACGACTGCCAGCCCTCAATTAGCAGAAAAACCAAAACCGTCTCAGTGATTAATTGCGTGCAGTCGCAGAAAGAAACAAAGCACTGAATGTCACGTTTGATGTTCTGCCCTCTGGGCCTCCCATCAGTAGAATCTGTTCAGAAGAAGAGCTCTTTATGAGAGCGGAAAGCGGAGAAAACCATGGTTTAAAAGCAGGATACTCACATACTGTAATTACAAAGGCTTTCTGCTTCCCTGCTTCCCTTTCAGATGGTCCCCCTTCCTCAAA